GGTATTCCGAACATTTTTGTCCAAGTTCATCTGCTATTTTTACTGTTATTCCACGCATTTTCTTTTTTATTTCTGTGTTATATATATATATATATATATAGAGAGAGAGAGAGAGAGACTATTTTGTTTTACATTTATGGTCTGAGATACTAAATTTACTATCCTTTCATACCAAGAAGACTTTTTCCTTCCGGAAGGGCAGTTAAGCTGGAGTTCACTAAAATTGCATACCACTTTTGAACAAAGACAACTTTTTAAACATTTTCATTACACTTATAAAAGAGAATGAGGAATGAATTTAATACTACCATACACATATATAAACATATATTATATACATTATTTATTAAGATTCAGAGTTTTCATTTTGATTTACCTGAAACTGAAGCAAAAATTTCAGGACAATGAGGGCACCAAGTGGCTTCATAAACTTGATCTGTATGCTCTACAAAAGCTGCTACTTCTTTAGCAGCAAAAGGATTCCACTGGAAAAAAAAAAAAAAAAATATTTTTTTGACAGATATTTAAAAAAAAAAACTTAATACATAATTAGATTATATATTATCAGCCTTTGAGAAAACTATGTTTTCAGTTTGATGCCTCTAAATGAAACTTAATTACATCATTCATTTTATTAGTTGTGTGGTTAATTAATAATGACAAAACACATAGGGTTATCTAAAGAGTGGGGGCCCTTTTTGAAGAATGTTCTACAGTTATTTATTTATTTATTTATTTTTTATGTTACACACAAGAAAAATCACTAAAACACCAATGTAGCACAGTAAATTCCTCCATCTGACTCATCTAGGCCATTTATTTTACTGAATTAAATAATGTTGAATATAACATAGTCTGCATTTTATTAAAATGAAGCATTACTTTAGACAGTGCTAATGAAAAATTACAGAAAAGTATGGCAAAGAAAATAAAACTGAACAAAGTATTTTCTAGAACTGGGGAGCAGGTGATATACCTGATACCTTTTTTATTTATTGTAATTCTACTCTTATTCACTTCATATTAAACATATAAAATATTACAGACAAAAAATAATAGAAAAGTATTGTAAAAAGTCAAATGACAGATTTATTGCAAATTTGAACTTTTTTATAACATTTTTTTACAATGTTTGTACAATTTCAATCATTCTTCAAGAGTTCTAGGGACAGTTTTTTTTTTTCCCCCCCTCTCATATTCCGATTATTCCAGTCAAGATCGGCGATGAAATGTATATTGGTATATCACGAAATGCTTCAAATAACATGAACTCTTATCAGTTATTTCACATACATAAACACGTTGGAATTAATAAAGAGAACACTTTTAATGTTATAGCTGATTTGACGGAAAAAAAGTAGATACTAAATTTTAAGTACCACAAAAAGATATGTAAGTATCTTAGATCTCAGGAATATAATTCCAAGAAATCTTTTCTCTGTTTGTTCCAGCAAACTACTGCTATCAAAGAATGTGTTCCTATATAAAGCTACAAAAGATCTGATCTATTTCTAAAGAAAAGAGTCTGAGATAAACAAAAATGAGCCAGTGCATAGGTATAACATATTTGACATGAAAATAATAAAAATTAAGCATTTATAACATAAATTTACATTGAAAATAAAAAAAAATGCTCTTACCTGTGGAAAAAGCGAGTGTTGCGTTCGCGCAACGTCAGCGGAATAAGACTATGAATGTTGTGAGTAGGATTATACTCGTGTGATGTTTTTTTTGAGTGGAGCGCAGGATTACTTTTTAGCTGTATAACGTTTTATTAATCTGCAAATCACTTTACTTGTAATTAATTTAATATTAAAATATACATTGTATTTCTTTTACAAATACAGATTATTTCAATTGAAAGATTCAAGCATGAAAAGCTTTCATTACAATCATGATGTAAAGCTACATTACATACTTTGCATCTATAAACAGTCTGGCTATGGTACTCTTTACAACAAAGTTTTTTGTTATCAACGGACTTTACGATAAAATGTCTACCATCTCCATGCAATGGTTTTTGAATGCTGAATTTACTAGGTCTTCCTGCTGCTGATCTATTTCTGGCTAATTCTACACTCTCAATAGGAGTTTGCAAAAGGAATAATGCATTCTCGCATCTGAAATCTAAAAGAGTATATTTCCAGTAGTAAAAAGTGATGATATTTAATAGTAAGTTTAGATACAGTCTCATATAATTTATCAGTATTGTCAAATGCAAATTCTGCCTCATATTCCTGTACTGCAAATGTGAAATCAATTCTCGTACAACAGGAACAGAAATGTCCTTATCAAAAGACCAATACATTTTTTCTTGAGGTAAAGAATAATATTCTGTAAGCAATAATATTCCAATAAATCTTCTCATATAGGCTTCAGCTGCAATAAATTCTGGGCTTTTTTTTTTCTCAGCGTATATATTTGTCTGTTCAACAAGAAGAGAGTAAATGTCTAAACCAAAACGAAAATAAAAAATATGTGCACTAGTTTTACCTTGTATTTTGTCTTTTATAATTTCTCTTCTATCTCTTTCTTCATGTTCTTCCTGAGACATAACTAACAGCTCCTTTTTGATCCACTTCAAGATTTCAGTCTCCTGCTTTTTAAACTTTTTAGTGTGACTGTAACTGCTTTTAGAAGGCTGAAACTTACTTCTTACGTGAATTTCAACTTCCCCAGCAGTATCATTTGGAAAATATCATTATCATTATTTAAAACTTGCCATTCGTTTCTTCATCGTCACTAGCTTCTGCAATTTCTGGGGGAACAACAACAATATCAGTTTCATTCTGCTCATTATTAACATTATCATCATCATGTTTCTTCATCAAAAAGTCTTTGAAGGGCTTCTTCTAATGTAAGATACCTTGTTCTAGGTATTTTTAAATAACCAGAACATGAACCAGAACATCGAAAGGAATGAGTGAAAAAAGAGATTGACTACCGTCTCCTGCTGACGTTGCGTCAGCGCAACACCTGTTTTCCCTTCCTTCCCAACACAAATGTAAACATCTGACTGATGTAATGTTCTGATAAACAGTGACATTGACTAAAAATAGATCACTCGTAAAGACGGCGATTTGGTAAATATGTTCAGGAAAAATACCCTGTCGAAAATTTTGCTTAAAGTATGAGATTAATTATTATAAATCAAAATGACTGTTGAAGGCAAATATTTTTTTACAAAAATAATCTTCATAATATTCCCTACACAAAATCATCTGCTGGTATAAAATATCTTAGGTAGTTATATTTATATACGCATTTATTTTGACTGTTGCGTCAACGCAACACCAGCAGCTAATGGATTAACTAGCAGAGAGGAGAGGGAAAAAAGAAAATAAAATGCAATTTGTATTTTAATAAAATTTCATGTTTCTCTTGCACATGGCACAAAAATAATTGAGAGCTGAAAAAATAAACATACAACAGCTGACTGAAAAGTCTTAAGACTGCCTGTCTTTCTATTCTGTTTTCGTAAATGCTGCATATGTCTGAACACAAAATTGAATAACTATGGTCTTCAATATTTGCTCACAGCAAACAAATGCACTTAGCACATTTTGTTGTGCTATATAAGGAAGATATTTCTCTAAAAGAAAACGGACATTTTATTTAATTTTGTGTTAAACTTGGATAATTAGTTAAGAAACATCTGAAAAGTTACAGCACGCCTATTGTGCAAAGCCTTTAAATATGTTTAAGTACTTAAATGGCAAATATATTAAAAAAATAATACATGAGTGACTATCAGACTTTAGCAGACTATATATTGCAATTATGGATGTTAACTCATCAGGCTATGCAGCTGTTGAAAAATAGGCTAATCTTAGGTGAACATTCCACCATATCTAATATCTTTTCTGAACATACTTAATATATTGTTATAGGGATTCTACAAATGCACTGTGTATGCACTTAAAAATCTACAGAACAGTAGATGCATTGTGCTCACATATGTGTAAACACTGCTCAAACATCTGAGATGATTCTGGATTTCCCAACATTGACTGTGACAGATAAGAGTGTTCATCATAAGACTTGCAACCAATGGAACTGAAGTGTATGGAAACACTTGAATTCATTTCCACCATTATTTTCCTTTGGCAAGTAAAACTTTACTTCTGCTATTCTTAGATATGCTCAGAATGATTCTATAATACTGGACTTCCAATGGATAGAGGCATCAACGATGATTTATGTGAACATTTAAAAAATCTTTTTACATAATGAGTTAAAAAAAGACCATATTTACTCAAGAAACAGTTGTTTCTACTATTACTCAATGCCCAATCACATCCTGTTACCGCAGAATTGGAAGACACAGAGTATCTTTGATGCAGTTCAAATTTAATGTTATATGATATCCGAGTATTCTCATCACTGAAAAACACTTACACAGAAAGAGATTGCTCTCAAAGGCTGAAGCAAAAAATGCCACAATTATAGTACTGAAATGGATGTCCAAAACAGTCTATCTTAAGTTTTTGAATCAAGCCTGCAATAAAAAAATGTGCTGCAACTGATGATGAAGAATACTAATTTGAAAACTAAAAAACACAGGGCCCATAGAGTCACTCGATTCTGAATTAAAAAAAAAAAAAAAAAGAGAGATCTTGAAATTTTTCAATCAGCTTAGACAAAACCCAGGAAGAGAAAACCAATTCAGATATAAGACACTACTTACCACTTTAACAGTACCATCCCATGATGCTGATAAAATGTATGAATAATTATTTTTAGGATTCCAGTCAATTGAATAAACCTATTATTGAAAGTAAAAATTTTATCACAATTCATGCTTTACAGATATTAAAAAAAATATTCATTCAAATTAGTCTAACAGGCACTAAAAACACAGATAAAAATGCGAACACAAAAAAGTAAAAAAAGGTGGGAAAACTATTTATAAAAATTGACCAATACAATATCTGTAACAATAATGACAACAAATGAATACTTACTTCTTTTTCATGGATTTTGTAAAATGCTACAGGTTCCTATATTAATGAAATAAAAGAATTAAGTATAATGATATCAAAATAATTAGTTTAAAAAAAAAGTAAAATTATCACAGGGCAACATATGTACAGAAGACTCACTGAAATAACTCCACATTTTAACAACAAATAATTTTTAATATACTTTATTCAACTACATTACTGTAATATATAGTGCATCTCATTATAAATCTCCCACAGCTACTAAATTACTATAATTCTATAAATGAAAATTTTCGTATTCAATCAAGCATTGCAAATTGGGCAAAAAAGTGATCTACACTGCCAGTGGTTGGAAAAAAAATGCCTTTAAACATTCACTAAAAGGACTTAGCTTCACTCTGAAAACAGAACTGAAAACTACATGAACTTTAGTATAGTACAAAGTCTGTAATCCGGACGTCCATAATCCAGACCTCAAAGCTACAAATTTTATGCGCATGCACATTTAATGTATAATAGACGGTATAAGCTAGGCTAAAATTATTTAACCCTCTGAGCGTTACGGGTTTAGCCCTAAAATTTCAAAGTTCCTCAAAATGTCACAAATAAGTGATATTTTCTTGATTTTAACTAAAAAATGACTCCTTCATTTTGTACGATTCCTTTTCTTCCAATATACATCCAAACTGAAATCCGATACATTAAAAGCTAGCAGAAATTTTCATGTATAATGAATGTGGAAGGCAACCTTCTGTACGGAATTTTCCAGTTGTAATGCTGAGAGGGTTAAGGCATTTTAGTTAATGTTGCAGATTGTGCTGTTCCTTAATCTTCTAATTGGATCCTGCTTATTATTTTTTGCAGACTGTTAGAACAATTTTATAAAAATTAAGCTTGAACTTTCGATTATGTCAAAAAGAGATTCCAATTCTGGAGCTGCCAAAGGATCTACAAAGCGAAAGCATGTTTCGATGTCCATTAAACAAAAAGTGGAATTGCTGCAAAAGATGGATAAAGGCCTATCCATCTCAAAATTATGCGAGAAGTATGGAATTGGAAAGTCCACTATATATGAGGGAAGAAAAAGGAACTTTTTGAATTTTGTGGAAGCATCTTAAAACTTACATTGAAAGAAATGTTAATAAAGAAACATAAATATTAATTTTTTTTTTTGTAAATTTTGAACCCTTTAGATCAGTGTCCTTTCTAGCGAGTCGCACCCCATTGAAAAATGTGTTTTAATTTTTTTAGTCTAGAAAAATACATTTTTTGCGAAACTTATTGTTTATTGAAAAACATTGTACATTTTATATAAATACAAAAAAAAAAAAAAAAATTATTTTCTATTAATGACTAGTCTGTTGTTTGTTCATTATTATACTGGCGAAGCGAGGTTCCTTTTTTGAAAGACATACGCGTAAGTCATCACTTGCATTTAAGCGATTTCTCGCTTTAGTTTTTATATGCAAAAGCGATGAAAATCCCATTTCGCACAAGTAGGTGGTAGCAAAGGGTAAGAGTAACTGCAGTGCTCCGTTCGCCAACTCTGGATAACGTTGTAACTGTGAACACCAGAATTGTTGCAATTCTAATTGTTCGAATTCCATTTGAACATGTCCACTTGCTCGCATTTCAATAAGTTGATCTTTTTTCAGATCACTATCATCCATCAAATTTAAGTCAAATAGAAATGGATCCAGTATCCATCTCTGAGTTTTGGTAATATTTCCGGTAGAAAAATATCCATTGAATGATTCGCTCAATCGTCTCAAATGTATTACAATGTCGGGTATAATTGTATTCTTTTCATTTTTCGCAATAACAGAATCAAGCAAGGGAAAGTTTGCAAAATTCCCCTTTTCTACTCGACGTATCCAAATTTCTAATTTTGCGATAAATGAAGATAATTTTTCACTAGATATTATTATATTTATACCAAATCCTTGCATTGATAGATTCAATTCATTTAAATGGCTAAATATGTCTGCTAAGTAGGCCAGCCTCAGCATTGCATCATTACTCTCAAAATCTTTTACTAAATAACAGTTTTGACTAGTCAGTAATTGAATAATTTCCTCACGCAATTCAAAAACTCTGTTAAGCATGCGACCCTTAGATAACCATCGTATTTCGGTGTGATATAGGAGCACGGTATGATCAGCACCGATTTCTTCGCAAAATGCACGAAAAATGCGATGATTAAGCTCTCTCCCTCGGATGTATTTTACTACATTTACTGCTGTAGTTAGATGTTGTTTTTAACTTTCTGGCAATGCTTTCGACGCAAGTGCATGACGATGCAACATGCAATGCGTTATTATAACTTCCGGTAATTCTCTTTTCATGTGTGAAAAAAATCCTGAATTTTTGCCTAACATTGCTGGGGCTCCATCAGTGCATATTGAGCCAATCACATTCATTGGTAATTGATATTTAGTAAAAAAATCTTTGATGATTGCTCTTCCAGTGGCTCACAAAATAGAAATTCTTCTATCACCTCTTTTTCCTTCACATACCTGACAAATACCAAAAGTTGGCTACAATTATCAACATCAGTTGACTCATCCAGTTGCATGCTTATTTTTAGTGGACTGATTTTTATGTCTTCAATTACTTGCAATAAAATATCTTCACTGAGATCTTGTATTCGCGATCGTATCATTCGATAATGGAATTTTTTTTTATGTGCTTCCGAATCTAAAACTGTTTTAGCAATAATTAAAGCAGAAGGTTTAATCAACTCTTCAGCGATCGTGTGAGGTTTCTTTTTTTTTTTGCACATAAATATGCCACTTGATATGACGCTTCTAATAAAGGTTTTTGAATTGCTGGTCCGCACAATTTTAGGATAGTTCCACTGGTATCAAACCGAGCCTTCTTTGACTTCAAGCTGTTCATGCTATGCGCTTTTTCGCCACCATGCAGATTGTTGAAATGCTCTAATAACTTTGATGGTTTGAGATTGCTGTTTGAAAATATCTTGGAACACAAGATGCATTGCGGTCGTTGCGTGCCATCTTTTTCGGTTGTGCAGGTAAATCCATAACCGGCATACTTATCGTTCCATTGTCGTTTTTTTTTTTTGACATAGTGGGGTTCACTATAATCGATTTAATTATTTAGAAATAATGTAATATAATATATATAATGTTCTTACGTTTGTAATATCACTGAATCCTATTCGGCTTGAACGGGCAATTAAGAATGTATTAGTCTCAAGAGGTTTCTGGACAAGTCAGAATACACAATAGTTGACTCGACTCAACCTAACACAGGCGCAGTAGATGCAGATACAAATCTGTGAATCCGTAGTTTCCATTGGAGTAGCACATATTGAACTCAGCGCATGCGCAAGCTGGAGATAACGTTCTCCGCTTGTATTCCCACAAAGTTTTCTTTTCTCCGTCACCTAGCTGCCTGTTCGCGTTCGTTTGTACCGCCTAATGCCTTTTCGTAATATAGTGTATGCGCCCATCGGCACCGGCTCTTTCCTGTGTCTTTTGCCGATAAGTGAGCTAAGAGCTACCAATTTTTATGAGCTTCAATATTGAGGACACTATTGCAGATTTCAAATATTTTATTATAAGAAATTTAATAATTTTTATGGTTAGGTAGAGGCTTCTCCCGCACCCCCAAAAATACATTCCCTCACCCTCCCGGTTAAGAACCACTGCTTTAGATCATAACTGCTCTTTATTTCATAAATTACGATTTCATATTTTTTAATTGTATAATTTCTGCATGCTATCTTACCAGATTTAAATTGATGATCTATAATCCGAAAAAAACCCCTAATCCGGAATCGCCGAAGTCCTGACGAGTCCGGATTATGGACTTTGTACTGTAGTATTTTAATCAGTTCTCAAACATGCAACATGAAACACTACAAGAGTGATTCTGAATCCTTTTCATGCAACAAGCCCTTTAAAACAATGGGGTTTTCATTGATCTCTTACATTCTATATAATATACAGCACATAAATAATTGCACATCATAATACAAATAATTGCACATAATTTAAAAATAACAATTAGACTGAGAATACAAACAAAAGCTTTCAAAAATGGTTTATTAGAGTTATGTTTTATTATTATTTCAGTTTTATAAACATTAACAAGTTTTGCAGAAACAAAATCACAGATTCTAATTGCACAAAAGTTCAGTTTTAATTAATAAATACTCATCGGGACTTCGGCAATTCCGGATTATAGATCATCAGTTTAAATCTGGTAAGATGCATGCAGAAATTATGAAACCGTAATTTAAGAAATAAAGAGCAATTATGATCTAAAGAATATCAAAATTTACAAAAAAAAAAAAAAAAAAAAAAAAAAAAAAAAAAAAGAGCTTAATATTTATTTGTTTACTTTATTAAATATTTCTATCAACACGCGCATGCGTAAAGCATACATTACGCATAGTCGAAATTAGAAAATTGCAACCAGAAAACTATTTGATTTAAATCATATCAAAGACGGAGTACATCGAGATGAAATACTACATTTAGTAAGGAATTATAAGCCGAATAAAATAAAAACATCTGCCCTGAAGATGAGGATAGTGCTGACAGGTCAACTTCCAGTTCACTGTGTTCACGACGTTTCCCTCCAGCAGAGCAGCCTGAAATTGATAAACAGATTTCAGAATGGTTAGAGAAACAAAGGATATGCCTTTATCCATTTTTTTGCAGCAATTCCACCTTTTGTTTGATGGACATCTAAACATGCTTTCGCTTTGTAGATCCTTTGGCAGCTGCAGAATAGGAAACTCTTTTTGACTTAATCGAAAGTTCAAGCTTACGTTTTATAAAATTGCTCTAACAGTCTGCGAAAAATAATATGCCGGATTCAATTAGAAGATTAAGGAACAACGCAATCTGCAACATTAACTGAAATAGATAATTAGATAATTTTAGCCTAACTTATACCGTCCGTTATACATTAAACGCTCATGCGTAAACGTATTATGCGCATGCATTAACGCTTTATGTGTTTGCATTCACAGAAAGTTTGTAGCTTTGAGATCTGGATTATAGATCATTCCGAATTAAAGACTT